AACAGTTCTATATCTGTGGACAATATGTAGCTACACAAAGGAAAAAGCTTACCCTTAATACATTAGAGCGGATAGTTCTTTAGGTATTGCACTCTGTACCCAAAAGATGCCTTGTGTCTCTTCTGCTTTTGGTGTAGGACGTCTCCGGTTGTTGGTGGTATTGTCTTGTCTTGTAGGGTTGTGAGGCTCGTGAATCCCCAAATCTCGACACCGCTAATTGCCAATTTGTCATGGTCGTAGATGGAGACTGAGCGGTGCCCTGGGTTGGGTTGGAGATGAGGGAACACCGATGGCTGTGGTGACCGGCCGCCGACGACTCCTCGGCTTTTGTCGACAGGACACCTGAAGCCACGGGGGCATGCATGTGAGGCTGCGGTGCCGCGGCTGTCACTCGGAGGCCCACCATGCTCACTGGCCCCTATAATGGGCCTAAGCCCTCTAAATATTTAGATCCAGCGCGCGAGAGAGAGAGAGAGAGAGAGAGAGGAGGGAAAGAGATCTCAAGTGGAGGAGGAGAAGGAGCTACTCTCGTCTTACCACATTCACAATCTCTTTCATTACCCTGCTGCATTGTGCACAGGAGAAGATGAATGAATATGATTTAATGTCTCATTTAGTATCCTTAAACGTCTGATGCTTGATTACTTCTTACAGTTCTTCGTATTCCGTGCATCATACTTATGTTACTGTTGTTTTCCGGTTGAAGAAGATTGAGCACCTTCTTCATAAGAAAGATGAACGCTTTCTTCCCTACAAAATGAAGAATGGAGGTATGAGGATTAGTGTGACAAGAAAACAAGCTCAGAAGCTTCCTCCTATGATCCAAATTTTGTAAGCCAAAGAGATGTTTATCTATCACTGCTTCATCATTGCACAAATATTCTTGGTGTTCAGTACTGGTACTGATTCCACAAGAACATGCTTGAGAGCACTAGAAATCTCGTCTCAAGATTAATGTCCATTAGGATTCTTAATTCTTCTTGTGATGGAACAGCAGATCCCACCAAAAGTGCCAGAGTCTCTTCTGTCATCTGCCATTCAACTATCTTTCTCATCAGATTTTTAGCTGCTTGCTATCGGCCAAAACGCCATCTATGTCATGTTAAAGACAGTGGTTTCTGTGGCTGCTTTCTAAAACCTTTGCATGTATGCATTTAGGAAAGAGAGAGAGAGAGAGGGATTCTGCTTTTGATGCGAGTGAGGTGGATTTGCCTGGAGTAGACAATCGTGCATGGGATGCCCCCAAAGCGATGTTACACACACGTGGTCATGTCCGAGGTTGAGCGTAGGCCATTTCATTATGCCTTTCTCTCTCTCTCTCTCTCTCTCTCTCACTCACACACACACTCTCTCTCTCATGCACATCAGATGATGATAATATTTTTCTTTGAACAAAATAATAATAAAAATACTCATAATAATAACTTTTTTATTAGTAATAATTTGAGTAAAATTACACATATATATTCTTTTAGAATTAACGAATTAATACCTATAAGTGGATCGTTAGCTAATGACGTAATACGTATAAGAAATATTACATGTATTCTTATGAATTAGTAATTTTTATATTATTTCCTCTGCATTTATTTTATTTAATGAATGTATCACAGAGTACTTTAAATATTAAATTATAATATTATTAAACTTCCTAGAAATCATGGTTAATGTTGTTTAGCCTGAGATTATTGATAATTGCTAATGAAAGTGACATATATGAATTATTTAGATAAATCTAGATACTTGGAGGGATATATATTGAATCAACATATACCTCTATGGGTAAGAACATAGGAAAACATCACATAAGCATGTCTGGGGTCTAAGAAATATAATCAATGGAATACCCATAAATTATAAATTCGACTAATTGATAGATTATTTCGACTTAAGGGATTGGATAAGCATAGCTGACTAAAATTGTTTTTCTTCTTTAAAATATTTATTTTAGATATTTATTTTAGATATTACTCTCTTTTTTGGGTACCGAGTAGAGAATGGAAATTACACCACATTTGTTGGAATTTCAAATAATGGAAATTCCACATGTGCAAGCCTTAAATTTAATGTCACATATACATATACATATACATATACATATACATATACATATACATATACATATACATATACATATACATATATATATATATATATATATATATATATATATATATATACATATATATATATATACATATATATATATACATATACATATATATATATACATATACATATATATATATACATATACATATATATATATATACATATATA